ACAAGACATTCAACGCAGTACATCAATTCGTGGAAACTGCTTTTCACTTAAGGCACTATTTAAAAATGAATGTACAACTAACTAATGTTAAATGTTTTCAGTAAAGTTTATGGACCCGGTATCGTTAAGAATTAGGAACAAACATTGACACATGTTTGTAAACATTCCTTGTCATTTATATTTAAAATGCTATGTTTCGTTTTAGATGAATGGATTGGAAATAAAGCATAATGCCCATAGACAGAAGAGCTGGCCTACAGTTAGGGCTGCTGTTAATGGCAGTCCCATTACAATACATCGTGTCTAAGTACATGTCAACTAATGAATCTCAGAGAAGCTATGCAATCAGGAAGTGAGTTTGTATATGATGTAGTCTTTTAAATATTGCAATGCCAGTGACAATGTCACACAAAAACGGTGAAAAAATAAAAATATGTACCTGGTAGTTTAATACTGTAAACCAACTTTCATTTGCATGCGAGAAATATTTGCGAGTTCTGCAACCTACTTTTATTTGCAATTAGTAATCACTGCAAACCAATAATTTTGATAAATATTTATAGAGAATGTATCCTGGGTTGCAAAAATTAATTGTCGCGGATTGATTTCAAATTGAAGAAGATGAAGCGAATAATAGTTGCTTTATAGTACAGTACATTTGTGATCTTTTTGGCGGATTAATTAAAACAAGGAATTATTTGGGGGAAAAAAGACAAGAAATAAAAATTAATTGTAGTCATTCTCCCCGAGTTTGTTCCACAGTGCAGCTGGGTTTAAGGAAGAATATTTATCCTGGAAGTCATGGCATATTAAGCTTCTAACTTGTACACATTTTCGTTAAGTTTGCTCCACAGTGCCGCAGGGTTTAAGGAGAAATATTTATCTCAGTATCTAACCTGTAGAATTCTTGTTTCAGTTTGTTCCACAGTGCTGCAGGGTTTAAGGAGAAGTATCTATCGTGGAGGTCGTGGCAGCAGTGGTGTATGAGCTTCATATTTCGTGAGGAGCCTCGGAGTTATGCTAGTCAAGACGATCTGAATGGGGAATCCCCCGCCATAGAGGTGCAAAAATTCAAGGATCCAGAGGGGTATTTTGGAGGTAATCATGCATGTGACATTATTTACACACATTGGACCAATATACTTCACATGAAAAATTATAAAAATATGCCTAAAATAATTTCATATTGTTTTACAGGTAATTAAATTCTTTGTGAATTTTAGATATGAAAAAAGCATTCTAATTTTTAACAGTAGGTGCTAAAAAGATGCATATGAATTTTTGCAATGTGTCAAATTATAGAAATATAATTATGTTAATTTCAGCCTCTACAGAACCTCGAACTCTAAGGTCACCAGAGGTCAAATACAGAGTGGGTCAAGTGATACGACACAAAATCTGGGGCTACCGAGGGGTGATAGTGGCTTGGGATCCACAGGCCAGGGTAATGATTGATTGATTGATTGTATATTGTTTAACGTCCCTCTCAAGAATTTTTCACTCATATGTAGATTCCACCACTTGACGATGGAGAGCTGCAAATATTGTCCTATACTCGGCACTCGGGGCCATGGAGCAGGGAGGGATCTTTGAAAATGAATTGAAATTTTAGGAATTCTTGGAGTGTACTTTGATGATGCTAATGATGTTACTTTAGAATTATGCTTTTTCCCTTTCAGGCCCCAGAGAGCTGGATAGAACAGAACCATAGAAAAGATAAACCTGTAAGTTAACCTTCAACAACAAGTGTCCTTATTAAGGCATACCCTTAGCTTATTTCATGCTAACAAAACTACATGACTGTATTCAGTTTGAAATATATAAAATGCTTATTTCAGCATTGGAGGACTCAGCCTAACTATGCCATACTTGTGGACACCAGGGACAGAATGACCCCTCAACTGACCTACGTTCCACAGGAAAACATTGACATAATATCCAATGTCAAGGTAATGTCAGAGAGACATTGATACCAAATGTCAGAGAAACACTGATATAATATCCAATGTCAAAGTAATGTCAGAAAACATTGATATAATATCCAATGTCAAGGTAATGTCAGAAAACACTGATATAATATCCAATGTCAAGGTAATGTCAGAAAACATTGATATAATATCCAAGGTCAAGGTAATGTCAGAAAACATTGATATAATATCCAAGGTCAAGGTAATGTCAGAAAACATTGATATAATATCCAAGGTCAAGGTAATGTCAGAAAAACATTGATATAATATCCAAACTTAAAGTAATGTCAGAAAACATTGATATACTATACAATAATGTCAAGGTAATGTCAGAGAAACATTGATATAATATCCATATTTAAAGTAATGTCAGGAAACACTGATATAATATCCAATGTCAAGGTAATGTCAGGAATACTGATATAATATCCAAAGTCAAGGTAATGTCAGAAAACACTGATATAATATCCAATGTCAAGGTAATGTCAGAAAACATTGATATAATATCCAATGTCAAGGTAATGTCAGAAAACATTGATATAATATCCAATGTCAAGGTAATGTCAGGAAACACTGATATAATATCCAATTTCAAGGTAATGTCAGAAAACACTGATATAATATCCAATGTCAAGGTAATGTCAGAAAACACTGATATAATATCCAATGTCAAGGTAATGTCAGAAAACATTGATATAATATCCAATGTCAAGGTAATGTCAGAAAACATTGATATAATATCCAATGTCAAGGTAATGTCAGAAAAACATTGATATAATATCCAAACTTAAAGTAATGTCAGAAAACATTGATATAATACACAATAATGTCAACATTGTCAAGGTAATGTCAAAAACATTGATATAATATCCAGTGTCAAAGTAATATCAGAAAAATAATAATAGGAAATGTCAGAGAAATATTGATATAAAATCCAATGTCAATGTTACATCAGGAAAACATATACATGCTTCCTCTCTGCTGAAATATTGCCATTAAAACTATATTAAGTCAATCAATCTTCCCTGTTTAAATCTGCAACTGAAATTTTCTCTTTTTTCAGATTATGCATCCTGGGATAGAGAATTATTTTGAGGGATTTGACGGTGCTCAGTATATACCACGTCCTTGGCTAAAAACTGTGTTCCCCCATGATTGACCTTGACATTTCGTTACATGTCCTTGACATTTCGTGATATTTCTGATATTGTATATATAGGAGGTACATGGTAGACTTTTCAAAAATAATTTTCTTTTTGATTATTTTATAGTTGTTAAATGTTGATATATTTTTGATTTATCTGACCATACATCTATTTTTCTTGACTGGTGTCTTTAATAGCATCTTCATAAAAAAAAAATAGTGTTTTAAAAAAACTATTGCAAACGATGTACACATTTTCTTTTTGTTATACCTGTATTATAATTTTGGAAACTTCAGATTTACATATGGCACATATAGATTTTGAATTTACATGTTTTTGAGTTTCTTAATTGATAAATCAGGGAGTTTTGAAACTCTTGTGGGCACAGAGTGTTAAGAAATCTTCGAGAATTTTTAAAAAAATATTTTTTTCATATTTAAAATCATTTCAAAAATCAAAGATGAATTGTTTGCCAATAAACAAACTTCCCAAGATTAAAAAAAATTGATTGATTGAATTATGGCTAAATTATTGTGCAATGCCATTTATTACCTTTTGTCTTTCAGTTTAATTTATTTGATAGTAATTTGTAAAATTTCAGTGTGTGACATTTTATGTAAGAAATGATAACAATGTGAGACTGGCATTTATGTTTGAACCCAGTAAATAACAAATCCTGCTATCCCAAGTTGAAAATTTTTATAGAGGGTAGTTCTTTGAATCAAAATATTTTACTGGGAAATTCAATAAATCTGATTGGTTTTCTTGATATCACATGCAAAATAATATTTTACAATAATGACTTGGATTACTAAAAATAACTTGGGGAAAATCTGGATGCATTTGTAGTAGTGAAAAATCTTTAAAACACACAAAATCTAATGATGAATTTGTCTCTTTTTGTTTAGTAAATTTGCTTTTCTCTGAAGTTGATACATGTATATTTATGGATTGGATCGACTTCAGAAAAAGGCTATAATATTTGTATATTGAGGCAGTTTGTTCTGTGCCATTCATGTTTATAACTCATCAAACTCACTACCATCAGGGAATATGGTTGTTATGGCTTCAAAACTATTTGCTTGTACAACTCAACATGAACTCTTGTTGTTAAACTTTAAAATAAACAAATTAAAAATAATTTTATAGTTTTTTTTTTACTTTTAGTAAGTCCAAACCCATATAGGAGGTGATTTCAGTTTGGAAAGGCTGTCACAGCCATCCACTTTTAGTTGGGGTTACTATCACCTACCCCCATAAAAATGACATTATTGAGCCGGGGGCACACACTTATGTCAGTGCGGTTCCTACAACAATTAAGTCATTAAATTGGCATATTAATCTGTTATAAATGTCTTTGCTCTAAATCATTTTTAATTCGTAAGAATGTACATGTAATACTGCGAATATCAAAAATGTTTTGATTGAACGGAGAGAATATTTATTTATTACAATTAAGGAAGATGGAGCATGTTCCCCCCATCCATATCTTTTGATTTGATTTGGGAAAAACATGGAACCCACCCACACCATCTTTTGATCTGACCAGGACTTATTGAATAAGTATAATACTGTGGAATGATTTTTTATTTAATTCGTGGGGGGTCAATGGTCGTGGATAGGCAAAATTTTGTTTGTTCGTGGGGACGAAATTTCGTGGGTAACTCATATATACAGAAGATGCAATTAATAAATATGTTTATAAAATTAATGTTCGTGAGGATGTAAGTTCGTTGATAAGGGTGACCCACGAAATCTACAAACATTGATCCCCCACGAACTTTGATGATTCCACATAAATATAGAGATTAATGCAAGAGACCGTGATTACTTCTTCAATGTCCACAGAAACTAAACAATGTCTTCTTTTTTCAGAGTTTATTGTGGTATTTATTCACCATCAAAGAGGATACTGTAAATCACTACATTTTCGCGACACTTAATTTTTGCGAGATAGTTATTTACTTTTACTAAGCTTAAAAATATTTTAACGAATTGGGGTTATTGCTCTATATCATCTTTAGGAAAATTTAAATAAATATACGCGATATTTAAATTTTCGCGAGAACAGTGCTCGTGTGATTAGCGAAAATAAAGTTCCCGTGAATAATAAGTGATTTACAGTATCAATAGTAGATGATACACAAAAATAAGAGTCATTTCAGTATAAGGTCCTCCATTTATTAAAAATTAATCAGTTCGGAACATTGTGCTTACATTTCCATTACGAGAAACTCCTCATTGCTAACATCACCGGGAAGTGACAACAAGCTGGCTGTAATTGAGATGCACTTCTTTTCCTTTTTTCTTGGGGGGAAGAGGGGGGGGGGGGTTATACTTAAGCTATTCAGACTGATTCGCATTAATATTTCATATTTTTCACAAATAAGTGAAATACACAGGAACTCTCCATTGGACCATGTACAGGTATTTATTTTCAGTGTCCTTTAAGTTTTCCGACGACGAGAATAACACCTGTACACATAGACGTCAGTATTGCAATTATAGCCAGGTAAAAGCAAAAGCTGAGGTCCTCCGTCTTGTAATCTGGGTTCCTGAATTTGGCAGCGAAGATCGAAACACAAATAAAACTCATCACAGCTGGAAAAAAAAGACAAAATATTGTTCAATTTAATTTTCGGTGAAAACATGGAAAAGTAAAGAAAAATTCTTCATTTGAAAATTAAGGAGAAAGTCAGAAACTACACTGATGCAAGTATAACACACAGAAAATATCTGTGTTCACTGCATAGGAAGGTGTTGGATATAAAATTTTATTGCAAAAGCTCAAAGGCTGAACTCGAGATAAAAACGAAAGTGTTAGAACATGCAGGCACAATTTATGAATATACGTACAACCCCGGTCAATATATTCTACGTATTGATCGTAGATACTTCCAGGTCGATAATTCTACGACTCTTCTCACGGTGAAATAACCCCCCCCCTTTTTTAGAAATCTGACCCCCTACCTTTTCACAGTTATATTATTTTATTTATTTATTTATGTCTTCTAATACTGATAGGCAAGCTCATAATTTTGTACAACTTTTAATCAAACAAAACGGGTTTATAGAGATTATATAATAAAAACATTTATTAAAGTGGCCGTATACAAGATGGGGGGGGGGTCCAGATTCACGATATGTCCATGATTATCAGTTACGTAAAATATTATAATCACTTCCCCCTCCTCAAATGGCTACAGAAAAGAACCTGTAAACATACAAAACGAGACAATCAAACATATCACATAAAGAAAAAGCAAAAAATAGCACATAAAAGCAAAATAGGACACAAAATGTGATCGACTTGCAGACTTATCCTACTGGAAAGCTGGAGAGAACGACCTGTCTTCTCCTCGTTATGGATCAGCTAGGGTAGCTTAAATAATTGAAGTTTTCCGAAAGTAATAAAACAAAATAATACTATATCTTTTACCAAAATTTAAGTTGAAAATTTTCTTTGATATATTTTTTTTTTCAAAGTGCGTTAATTGTTTCCATGGTAAAATGTTGATGTATACATTTTTAATGCACGTTAAAAAAAATCAATGTGCTTTTCAAAGTGCTTCATTTTGTGCGTGTCTATTTTCGGTGACAGATCCAGGAATCTTGAAATGGGGGGGGGGGCATGTTTGGGACTGATGTAGGGGTCCACAGTCACAAAAAATCATTGTATTTTTGGACACAAGGGGGAGGGGGGAGGCCCAGAGCCTCTAAATCCGCCAGTGATCTGAGTTGAAAGACTAGCTATTGGATACACAAATTTCCTGTACTGCCCTGTTCTCTTATGCCATTGAATGATCATTAGTTGACTCTTTCAATTGGTGAATAATGCCTTTGGCTATTTTACCTATTTGGTCATTTTCAGGCATGTGATTCATGTCATGTGGTTTAAAGAACCAATAGGCTTAATTTAGATTTGTTCCCGCTATTGGTGAACTGTCTTTGTTCTTCAGATCATGCAGAAAGACAGATTCCTTTGAGGAAACTGGAAAGTTCTAAATACTGTATCTTTTATGAAGTCTGCCAAATGAGAATTGTATCCTGTAGCTGACAGACCCGAAACGTGAAAGATTAATTATTGGTGAGTATGTATATATGTATGTTCATGTAGCTTTACAGAGTTTGCCTTGCTCCATAAACACAATGACAGGGCAAATAATCTTGAAAGGAGAGGGGCAGGTTAGGGTCGGTGTAGGAGCACACAGCCCAGATTTATAAACTCTTATGCATATTGTGGACACAGAGAAGGGGGGGGGGGGGGGGCTGGTACCTCGCTGTGAAACAGGTGATTGCTGGATAATCATTTGAAGTACATGCATATAATGTTTTTATCATAATTAAATGTAATGTAAAACAGTTGCATTGAAATGTACATGTATATATAACATAATATTATATATGAATCATATTAATTTTCAAAATTAATGTTTTAATATACTTTTATGCAGTCGAGGGAAATAACTTGTAAATTAATTTAAAATGAAAGAAGATAGCAAGAGGTATCTCTCTTGTAATATGCATATTACCTTGTAAGTTAATTATTAATTTTTAAGCCTTTATAATCTAAGATCCAGGGTTATATATAGTTTTTTTTGCCTGTCCATCTGTCTTTTTGTCTTTGTGGGCAAAAACTAATTTAGTTAACTTAGTGCATATTTTTTTCTTTGGATGCATGGGACTATTTCTTTCTTATTTCACAGATGTATTTTTTTGGATACCACCAAATTTGACCTCTTGACCTTGACCTTAGATTTTGACCCACTTTTACAAAAAAAAAAAAAACCCAACCAAACTTTAACCTTCGCCATCTTATGAACAATTGGTGCTTAGGCTTTTATACTTCACATATGTATTCATTGGGATTAGACTGGCCTTTCAACATATATATAAATATTTGATTTTTTGACCTTGACCTCAAAGTTTGATCATTGACATTGATTTTGGAGTTTGACATGCATTTGAGAAACTTCAACCTTTCACATAAGCTCCCATTTCGGCACATCAGTGTCTCGCAAACACATCTTGATTTTTTAGCTCACCTAATATTTATCATATTTATATGAGAGTATGTTGATCATCCTCAGATAATGTAGATTCAAATTTGTTCAAATTATGACCCCTGGGGGTAGGGCGAGGCCACAATGGATGTTCAAAGTTTAACATAGAAATATGTAGGGACCTAAAGGTTAAAAAGCCATAGTTTTATCAAAGTCCCCTACACTAGCCACAATGCTCAGGTGAGTGATGTGGCCCATGGGCGTCTTGTTTTAATTATCAGAAAATTTCTTTTGACTACATGTGTTTATATTTCTTTATAATGATCTATTTTATTTGTCAAAGGTGACAGACTTCTTCCAGCAATGGGACAAATTCAGGAAGGAACAGATAGGTTCAGTCAAGGTAAGTAAAATCTTAAAATAAAACTGAAAAAGTACAGGTACAGTTTGGCCATCTTTTAAGAAATGTTTGGTTGCCCTCAGTCCCAACAAACAGTATTAAGTTTTACTGTTAGAAAAGCAATACTTAGAAGGTTTCTTCCCCATTCACATATTACTAGTAATAAATCATTTATAAAATCTTATTAATAAAACTCAAGTTCTCTTATGATAAAAAAACACAGAAAAAAATAAATTTGCTACATATTGGGAATTTTTAGTGAAATTTTGATGGATTATATATTTTTAATGTCCCTCTTAAGAATTTTTCACTCACATGGAGACGTCACCACTTGATGGTGGAGAGCTGCAAATATTGTCCTATACTCGGCACTTGGGGCCATTGAGGAGGGAGGGATTTTTTCGTGCCAGCACCTACTGTGACCTCGGTTTATACGGTCTCATCCAAAGGACCGGTCCCCATGTCCCACAGTGGGATTCGATCCCGTGACATAAGGATTGACTCCTTACTTCATGACTACCCTAAAAACCACTGCATAAAGCGAGTGACCTGAAATTTGGGGGAAAAGAGTTAATGTTCAATTTGGACAGGGTTAATTTTTACAAGACCTGGATGTAAGGGATATCAAGCCCTGAGTTGGTGCTAGAACTTTCATACTACACATATGTATTCTAAATATTTGACAAGATATTTAACTGATGTCAGAACAGTTTTTGGATATAAATATTTTTGACCTTGACCTTAGAGTTAGACCCAGTATTAAAAATTTTAACCTTGGTCATAACTTTTGCACTATTTCATATTTCACAAGTGTATGCAAAGTGACAAGACCTTCCTTTGAATATCAACAATTTTAATCTTTTGACCTTGACCTTTGGAGTTTGACTTGCATATGAGAAACTTCTACACTCACCATTAGCTGCTAGAAGGGGCATCAGTGTATTAACAAACACATCTTGTTTATGCTTTAATAGTATTGTTTATTCCTATTATAGGGCTATTGTGACCACTGCATATGAACCCGGGTTGGTTGTTGATGATGATGGATGATGCCTATACAAGAAGAAGCTGTTGAATGACGGTCTATACCTCTACCCTCCTTGTGAGAGCTACATGTTTTAAGTGAATAGTGATTATATTAGTTTTGTGCAGGCTGACTTTAGCCTAAGTACAATAGTGAACAACACTGTGAATTGTGATTTTATATTGTGACTTATGTGTGCTTTGACTCTGTGGTGATTCAACTGGAATTATTCCACCAGCGATTGGTAAGATAGTCTACCATGCAGCACTTGTTTACCTAACCAGTATATAGTTAAAGCCATATATGGCGTAACTGATCAAAAAAATGTATTTTTGAAAAATATAAAATTAAGTAAAGAAATATAGTTGATACATTTAAATTAAAGCTTTTCATACAATTCTGAACACGGAGAACACCTCGTTTCATCTAATAATACGATTTTATCTTCTCTGTAATGTGTTATTTAAATCTGTTGTATTTTCTTCCGAGTCGGAGAAAATTCCAAGAATCCAAATTAAATTGAGATCTCTTTATAACGCAATTGATTTAGATTTTGTAATTTATGGAAAAGTTCTATCTTTATATATAGTAATGATACAAATAATACGTTCTCATAATTTCAGTCCAATAATTTTCATTGTACATATGCCATATATGGCTTTAAGATTTTATACCCCCTGCTTGAAAAGTGGGATGGTATATATATAGCTATAGCAATTTGGATGTCCGTCTGTATGTTCGTCTGTCTGTCAGTTTTGTATAATTATCTGCTCTATATAGAAGTACATGTATACTGAAAACAAAACATTTGTGCCCTGTCCTTATTGTATTGGTATTAAATGATACAGAATTTTAAAATTCAGATTCTTATACTAACACCTTTGCACTGCACTGCATGATACAAATGTATATTATTTGACAATTTTTCTGCTGACTGGACTGAACAGATGTTAATGACAGAGCTGTGGGAGAATGCATATTAAAGGTAAAGGTAATATGGTTATGCCCCACCCCCACCCCTTGCCCTTAGTCACATGTACATTCACATGTATGGTAATTAATAATTATACCGGTATATATGTTTGTATGTTGATGAAGTGAAATGTAGTTGGTGTGTGACAATTAAGTCAGGGGAGCTTATTTAGTAGATTACATGTCTGTCTTTCTGTCTGTC